CACAGCCATTTGGCTAATCAGTGTATTCTGACAGTGGTGGGTGGGGTTGGGTAAGGGAGATGGGGGGATTAAGTCTTCCATCCTCCTCGTTTTTGTGAATGGAAGAATTTTTCAGGTTTTTTTTTCTGTTCAACTCACAACTCCTTCCCTCCTAACAGCTATACTAACTAACCTGTGGAAGAAAGATTTGTATACTTAGCTATTTTCAGGCTGCCCTGGTCCTGTTTCCAGCTTCATGAGAGAAGAGGGCATGCCGACAATGGATGGGACATAGTAAGCCTATAGGTAATGTCACTGCTTCCAAGCATTCCAGCCATTGTCAAGCGTTCTCTCCTCTCCTTTGCAGCGGCACTGGCTAAGACTAGGTTCACACCTATGCAATTTACGTTTGATCCATTTCTGCAGTGCTTTTGTGGTGCGTTTTTTGATGTGGTTTTCGTTTTTTATTCAACTTGTTGCTTGGCAGAACAAAACGCATCAAAAACACACTACATGCTTTTCTGTTAAGTCTCCATTGAAGTCTATAGAACCAAAAACACAATATTTTGCATTTAAAAAAGTCACTGACCTTTTCCAAAAAACACCCTGGGTGAAAATGCAGAGATGTGAACCTTTCCCATATGAAATCATGTTAAATGGACTGCTATGCATTTCTGAAAAACGCATAGGTGTGAACCTAGACTAACACAGGGAAGATCACATAACCAGAGAGGAGCAGTTTGAAAAAAAAGGTAAGTACAGAGACCTTTCCTAGCCAGGTTAGTGGGCATAGGTATTAGGAGGAAGCAGTTTTAAGTTAGATATATTGCAGAATTCTATTTTAAGACTGCCATGATACACTTGAAGCATAGCAATGACAATACACTTCCAACACTAACAATACACTTCCATGCCATGCTATTTATAACTTTTATGATTGTTGCTGTACTTAAGGCAAGGAGTATCCATTGGAAGGAGGACTCTTGTTTAATATTTGGCCAAAAATAGGGCACATTGCAGGCCAGTTCATACTTTTGTTATGGTACCAACAGATAGAAAATACAAAAGCTATTTCACAAAACTTCAAATGGCTACAGATGCTGTTAAAAGGCCAGTCCCAGATTTGTTGGATCTGCAATAAAATATAGGCATTCTGTCACATGGAGAGAGTGAACTTTTAACCACATCCTGATCCCATGACTCACACTTTTAGCATTTATATTTATTGTAAACTACAAGCATACTAAATAACTATATAACACTGCAATAAGACGTTATTGATTTGCAATGGAAACAAACATATCCTCCTAAGTAAGCAGAACTATGTGCTAGCACAGCTGTCTATGCATAGGAATTTAAGCGAATAAAGTGGTTGTAAAGGCTTGACATTTTTTACCCTAAGTGTCACTAAACCCACAACAGTAAAATCAGTCTGTATATGCACTAAAGCATGCTTGTTATACTGTGGAACCTAAGTGGTTAATCCTCTGCTGTTTGATCCTGACTTCTCTGATCCTCCCCTTCTTCCAGTGTCCCCCCTCTTATCTCCTGATAAGACCTATTGTGTGGAGACACTCTGAACAGACTCAGTTTAGTGTGTATTGCTAGAGGGTTTTATTTTTTCTTGGGAGGGTGCACGTGATCAGCACAGGGCCAATCAGCACTGTCCAGACAGAGGTCAGGGGTTCTACATCCTCCTGGAGCAGAAAGAAAACTCCTCCTACAAGCTTTAACATGTGCTCTGCTGGACACTGATAGAAGTCACAAGTCTGCTCTAACTGCTAATGAGAAAAGGTATTTATTAGTTTATATTTACTAAAATAAATGCATTCCCATGTAGTGTGTACTGTGGGAGACCAGATAGTGTGAATGCAGGGTCCGGGGTTTAGTAACATTTTAATGCTAGTGATGCACCGATACACCGGCCACTGAAAATTGTCAACAATAAATAGGGTTATCAATGATTTGCTGATAGAAAAAAGAGAAAGATAATGCCGATGGTTTTTTTTTTTTTTTTTTTTAGACAATCAGTTCACCTTTCATAAAATGTTACACCCATACTCAGGGTGTAATGTAACATATTATGTAAGGACCGGCCCCTGCTCCTCCCGATGCCTCTTTGACAGCTAGCGGGGGATCTTCTCCCACTAGCTGTCAAAATTTTTTAAAAAAACGCAGCCAAGCAGGGCTCCATCCGACACTGAGAGCTGTGGTAGTTCCTTGATTCTTCCTGTCAGAGTGTATTGGCTGTATGGGCAAGCAGATATACTGACAGGTCTGCAGAGTCCTGCATGGCACCAGCGATCAGCAGATGCTTTCCAGGCTTCTGCAAAAAAAAAAAAAAAATATATATATATATATATAAATGCACTTTTTTTTACCTGCAAAAAAAGTGCATTTATTATCTTTTGTCAAAAAGTGAATTTACCATTTAAATTATTGTGCAGTGTGTGTATATATTTAAAAAAGAAAAAAAAAACTTTCAGTTTTCAGCCAAGTGCATCCTAAATTTTCAGTTTCGGTCCAGAATTTTCATTTTGGTGCACTGCTACTTAATGCATTTCCTGTCCATCTACAGTGGCTCTCTCTCCTCACAGAAGCAGCAGCAGGAGGAGCCATTGGTTCCTGCTGTTGTCGATCAAATTCTGTGACCATAGAGAGGGGGTGAGGCCAAGCCTTGCTGTCTTTGCCTATGGAAGCAGGAAGCGCGGCTCGGGATCACGCTTGCAGGTGAGCCACTATGAGAAGCGGCTTCCTATAGGGATGCACCGAGAAGAGAAGGAGCAGACAGAACTGGTGGGGGACCCAAGAACAGCAGCTTTGGGCAGCTGTGTGCAAAACCATTGCATAGAGCAGGTACAGTAAGTATAACATACTTGTTTTGGGTTTTTTTTTTTTTTTTTTTTTATTTTAATATGAAGCTTTACTTTTATGTCTTTTGGCAGTTGATGAATGTGTACACAGGTTTACCTTAAAAGTAAAAATACAATTTCAAACAATAGATTATCTGTACACAAATCTGTACTTATCACATAAACTATAGCTCTAATATTCAAGCCATAATAAAACATGTCTATTTACTGTAATAATGGTTATGTAATATTCTTTCAACATTCTGTGGTTCAGTAGTCAGCTGGTGTCTTACTTATAATAACAACTTTGTAATTCACCATAGTTTGTACTTAAAGTAGTTCTAAAGGCTCAATGTTTTTTACCTTCATGCATTCTATGCATGAAGGTAAAAGACCTGTGTGCAACAGCCCCCCCGATCCTTACCTGAGCCCCCTCAGATCCAGCGACGTTCTCGTCAGCCTCTGCTGTCTGAGGACTCTTCCTCCTAATTGGCGACTGTCGATCACAGCCAGTGAGCCAATGAGGAGAGAGCGGGGGGCTCTTATGGACACATAGAGCAGCATCTCGGAGACGAGCACGCAACAATGCCCCCAGGGCGAGCAGCTTTCCCTGGGGGCACTGCTCGCGGGGGAGGAGCCAGGAGCGCCAGTGGGTACCCAAAAAGAAGAGGATTGGGGCTGATCTGTGCAAAACCACTGCACAGAGCAGGTAAATATAGACATGTTTTTGAAAGAAAAAAAAACAAAGCTTTAGTGTTACTTTAACCCTAGCAATAAACTTCATATCTGTCAAGTACACCATTTAAAACATTTTCTTATCCGTTTGCTAACTGCAAAAAATCTGATGGTCATGTCAGCAATTTAGAGCTTTCCTGTGTCCTCCACACATTTCCAGTGTTATCTCAAACAGGCCATCTAGCTCTTATCTTGGATCAAAGAATGAATAGCCTATAAAGCCCTATACACACAATGAAAATATCAGACGAATCATCGTCAAGTTTTTTTTGCATGCTAGTCTCATTACGAAAGTGAAAAGGTTATTAAAGATACAAAAAATCTTGTACGACACAATAAAAATTCGAAAGTGATGTAATGTGTTGTATTTGTATTGTATTTTCAAACAAAAACTGTACTGATTAAATGAAAATACTACAATCTGGTATCGTACCAGAAAAAGTTTTGTGCTTCTCCCTTTGAATAATTTCGGATGAAACCTGTGTACTAACAATCAGATTATCAAACGATCGCTTCGAAAGTGGCTTTTTTTTTGTACGATTTTCTGACCGTGTGTACTAGGCTAAAATTGTAGAGATCTTGGAGTAGGGGTGGTTGAGTGGTTTACCGGGAGACACTGGACAGGGCTTACAAAACCCAGTTCACAAAAATTCTGAGTGTTGTCAGCCCACAAGAGGACTTCATAGCTGTGTATATTCCTGGCAGTTCAACAGGTATTTTTTGTACTTGCAGGGTCTTTGATTTTCAACCTTACATAATTCTGGAACCAAAATTAAATAGTGCAATGGAAACAAATGCTACACACTGGGTAAATTTGATTATCAGTCAACTGAATTTTATTATTTAACTATATTCTTCAGTAATGTTTTTTTTAATTCAGTTAATGCATGTAAACTTAGAACAATGATGATCATAAGCTGAAATACATGGACTAGGAAGATAGGTGGAGGATGATAGGAATTACCACAAGGATGGTTCCACCCAGCTTTTAGGATGATCTAGTTTTTCTCATGGAAATTACTAAATATAATGGATCAACAGCTAGTAAACTCGTTACATTATCTTTGCATGCCCAGTAAAATGCTGGCTAACTTTTCGTTTATAATAAATTTGGATATTATTAGCTAATAGTCACCTTAATATAATATATATTTTTTTTACATATATTACTTTTTTTTTTAAAATACTCTGTTAACATCCCAGGCTTGTTCATCGAGAAAAGCTTTGACTAAACTTTTGTTTTTTATTTTATATTAGATGTTAATAGATGAATGTGTATGTTGATTTTTCAATTATTTTACTTTTTACAATTGTATTTAAAAGGAAACTCCAAATTTTTTCTGTGACATGGAACCTGTTGCAAGAAAAGTTTGATTGGCATCTCAAAAAAAAAAAAAAAAAAAAAAAAAAATGTATTTTTTACTCTCACTTTACCTCGTGAACGCTCTTCGGATTCTCCAGCCATGCATAGTACATTTCTTCTACATAACTTGAGTTGATTCCGCTTAAAAAACGGCTCTTGGACTCCAGAAGAATATACACAACATCTCGGTAGTAATGTCCGTGAGTTAACTGTTGATCTCACCAGCAAACCAAAACCACATGGCTGCAATTTAACAGCAAGTGACCTGAGGAGGCTCATCTTCACACATCTACCTGCAAAGAAGATGAATTACAACATAAACAGAATAAAATGAACTCCTACAGACATTAGGCAATGTGACTATGTGGCTACCAAAATATAACTAAATGTGGCACCACATCAGTAATGCTGTTAAGTATAACAGCAAGGGGCATTTTAATTATAGGAGTTAGGACGACCAGCTCCGATATTAATAATCCAGCAATGAGATCTTACTGAAAAGTGCAGGGGATACTGTCCCTTTCCCTAGGGAGGCTTTGGGTGTTCCCACCCACCAGTGCATTTTCCAGCGTCTTGTGCTGCATTCTCAATAATATAAACTTATTGAAAGCCCAACAGGGAGAGTGGGATCCCTCATATTAGCTGCATTATTCACATTTTGAGAGACAATAAACTGTCAAATCTACTAAAAACTAAGAGCTTCATATTAGGGGGACTGGTAAATAATTGAATTTGGCTCATATTTTTCAGGGTTTGTGGACTTTAAAACTCATTTCTCCTTCCACCATGTACAGCAGCACCTAAGTTACAAGTCACAAACACTGCATGCAATAATAAAAATGAAATGCAGAGAAATGGCTGTTCACCATACATATTTATGACTGCATGTTGTGCCTTGCCTTGGGTTCTCCTCCAAATATAAGGCCTTCTGGGACTCACAAATGGTAAGTTAATTCTAAATTCACTTTTAAAATGGTTTTCAACTCAAGATTTACTATAATTTTTGCAGTTGCTTAACAGGTACAATATATTTGCATCATGTAAAGATTCTTACTCTTATTAAAGTGTCATAAGCCCACATCATTAATAACTATCAATAAATGATGTATTACATGCTGTTCATACTCAGTCACTATGGGATTTGTTTTCCGTATTCTGAAAAAAACCTGGTTGATTCTGCTGTTCTCTACCTCCCCCACTTCTGTTGGATTTTGCAGTACAGTGTTAGAAACAATTGAGTACTGTCCGTGATACTTTTTTTATTTGCACTAACATACTATTTTGAGGACAAGCTTTCGGGGTATGTCCCCTTCTTCAAGGTCTAAGCAGTACTATTACAAATCACAAAGTTTAAGCAAAATGTTAGAAGGGATTGAGAAAAAAAAAAAAAAAAAAAGGCTACAGATAAGATACATCAAAAGCGAGGGGGGGGGGGGGGGGGAATACCCGAAAGCTTGTCCTCAAAATTGTATGTTAGTGCAAATGAAAAAAGTATCACAGACAGTACTCAATTGTTTCTGTCGCAAATGCACTAATACGGCTACAATCACCTCAAGCAGGACAGTGTTGGAAGCTAATACAGATTCTCAGTTGTCAGTGTATTTCTACCCTGTGTATTTCCTCCCTATAAGCCCTTGTGACTATAAAGTCACACGTGGGTGTGTACAGTACATACAGGGGTAATTGACAATCAATGGAAGACTGTAATATGGTTCCATGAATTGAGCTTCACATTGTTCCCAACCATCAGACGTGTTTACATGTGGCAAACACCATTCCAAGCTTACTACCAGAACTGTGATGTGCCAACGGTAAAGCATGGTGACCACACAATCATGGTTTGGGCAGCCATATCTTTATATTCTGCAGGCCCCATCATCACCTTGAAAGGAAGAGTCACTGCCAGTGACTTTTGCACAAAATTTTGCCCAACCATGTGCACTCCATGGTACAGACATTGTTTCCCAAAAACAGCACCATTTGCCAAGATGATAATGCTCCAATTCACACAGCTGGTGTTGCCAAATCACTGTTTGACAAGCATGCAGAGGAAGTCTTGCATCTTCCCTCGGCTCCACAGTCATCGGACCTCAATATCATAGAGCCACTATGGTCCATTTTGGAGTACCAGGTTAAGGCTTATTTTCTGCCTCTGGCATCTCTGAGAACTGGAATGATTTTTTTCATGAAGAGTGGTATTAGATTTTTTTTTTATCCACCACTCAAGACTTACACTTGTCAATTACCAGGGGAATTCAGGCCGTTTTGGAACCCAAAGGCAGTGCAACACCATATTACGCAACAATTCTTTTACCTGGTATTTTCAAGATTTAGTCTTACCTCTGTATGTTATAGCAAACAGATATATCCACTATACCCTATTAAAAAAACAGGAAGGATGAAAACACCACACATATAAAATAGGATGGGCAAGGTGGAGACAATGGGTTTATATACTAAAGCCAAATAGGCTACATAGTTGGTAAAGTTGAATAAAGTCACCAGTCCATCCAGTTCAACCTAAGTATCTATGACTACTGCCTTTCAGATCCATGATCGCTGAAAAACACACATCTAAAAGTTTTGTGAACTTATCTACACTCTGCACTGACACAACCAACTGCAGAAGGGAACTCCACATCCTTACTGCTCCGACAGTAAAGAACCCTTTACACAGTTTAGGAATGAACTCATTCATGTCAAACTTGATTGTGTGGCTGCATGTCTATTGTAGAGACCTAAGATAAAATAGTTTTCTCCCACAATTCATTACTGTGATCATATCCCCTCTTAAGTGTCCTCCAGCCCCCATATTAGTTTTGTTGCCCTCCCTCAGTTGCACTCTCCCCAGTTCAAGCACATCCTTCCTGAGAATTGGTAACCAGAACTGGAAAGCACACTCAAGATGTGGCCAAACCAGAGTTTTTTAAAGTTTTAGTGGTAGTTTTATCTCCTTATACCCTTTTGTTATGCATGCTATTGCTGAGTCTGTCATCTTTAAAAACCCCCAACTCCTTTTCCATCTTCGAATACACCAGAGGCTCTCCACAAAGCATGTAAACTGCAAAAATATTTTTAGTGCATTTTGCTACCTTAAACTTCATCTGCCATTTAGTTGCCTGTCCTTCTATCCACTTTGTAAGGGAATTTTCAGAATGCAAGAGCATTTCCCCTTAGCTTAGTTAATGTATGGAAGCTGGACAGACTTCCATTATAGTGTTTTTTTTTCTTGAAGGTGACTGGGAATGCCTTGCATAGTGAAATTTCACAAAATTAATTTACAAAGTGGTCAGCTTTTATTAATTCAACCCAATGAGTGATGAACAGAAGACATACAACAGATAGCAGCAGGAAAGCAAAGAGTGCTGTATGTGAAAAGGACAATGCTATGTTCTGTGTAAAGGTCCTGGCCCAATCCTTAAATGTTGTGGCTGCATTAGTTTTAATTTTAGTTTTTTTCCCTTTATTTTCATAATAACACAGTTAGGCTCCAATGCACAGTACTTTTGCAAAATCCGAGTATACCATGTCCACTGTAACCCCCCTGTCCAATGTTTTGCTCACCTCCTCAAGAAAAGAAATCAGATTTGTTTGTCAACTTCTGTCTTTCATGAATCCATGCTGTCTGTTGCTTAAAATATTTTTTTTTTTACAGCAAGAACTCATCTATGTGGTCTTTTATTAAACTCTCCAGTATCTTTCCAACTATAGAAGTTAAACTAACAGGTCTATAATTACTTGGTAAAGATTTTTAAATATTGGCACCACATTGGCCTTACGCCAATTCAGTGGTACTATGCCAGTCATTAAAGAGTCCCTAAAATTAGAAACAATGGCTTTGAAATGACAGAGCCCAATTCTTTAAGAACCCATGGGTGTATGCCATCCGGTCCAGGTGCTTTATTCACCTTCATACTGTCTAAATATTTTTGGATCATATCAATTGTGACCCAATGTGGATCATCTGGAGCTGTATCAATACCATGCCCATTATGGACAAGAGCTCCCCCATGCTCCTTTGTATACACAGACCTGAAGAAGGTATTTAATTTTATTCTATTTAAATTTTATTTAATTTTACAGGTATATGAACCTACAGGCAGAAAAAAAAAACAGCAAACTCGCATTTCTAAGAAGAGCTGTGAAGCAGAAAAGATGCATATATGCGCAAAAACGCGCATAAGTGTACAAAAACAAGCATAACCATTTTTTTTAAATGAGCATTCAGCTTCTTTTTTCTCATAAACAGTGGTTAAGAAAATACTGTTTATTCATTGGAAGCCCTGGGAACTAAAAGAGGTTTTCGGTGGCCCTTCCTCCTATTGTTCTGCTACATGAGCTCTTGAGAGCTGGTAATGCTGCTGCCCTTTTGTTCTTGGAAAATGGCCATTACTCAAACGCAGCTAATCACTGCTGTGCAGCAATTTCCACAGCAGTGCGACACTGGGCACTAACTGCAAGCAGACTGGTTGCAAACAAGGTGTTCCTGGGAACTTGTAGCTGCAGAGTTGATGCCTTGGTGGGCTCAGATTTATTAGGGTGAAAAAGCAAATGATGTGTCCAGTAGCAATGATGACAAATTGGCCTGTGTTGCAGCTGCATTCAGAGAAATAGCAAAATAAAGCAGTAGCATTATTTCATGAATCATGACCCGGTGATTGACAGCCGATGCCACGAATGTCGGCGCAGGTAGGGCAAGCGTGTCCCCCCTTCCCAGAACTGAAAAATCACGTATATATACACATTATTTTGCGCACCCATGCCACCCTGCAGCAGTATTTCTGCTATAGGGCGGCGCGGAACCGATTAAACTTATTTTTGAGCTCATTTGAGCTGCAGTATGCATGAGCCCTAATAGCCACAGCCAATTATAGGCTATCACAGCAATCAGGTGACCCTGGAACCAGGAGTACCAGATCTCAATTGTTAGTACGAGATCCGGGACTCTTGGTGAGAGCGCGGTGTCTGTGCTGGAAGCACACTGTGCAGCACAAAGAGATATACAGTGGGGAAAATAATTATTTAATCCCCTGCAGATTTTTTAAGTTTGCCCACTTACAAAAAAATGAAAGGTCTAAATTTTTTATCATAGGTGTATTTTAAATGAGAGAGACAGAATGTCAATTGAAATGATTCACAATCCCCTTCCGTGTAGATCTGGGCTGATCCCTCACTTTTCTCATGATCATCTTTACCCCATGAGGCGAAATCTTGCATGGAGCTCCAGACCGAGGGCGATTGATGGTTATTTTGTATTTCTTTCATTTGTAATGAATAAT